AATTGAAGCGCTTCAATTGCGTTCTTATGGAATCGACCTCATACAGCGCGGCGGTCCCGCAACGACCGCTAGTCGAGCAAGCGCTCTGCACAGCGTATGTTGAGTGATCCGCCCCCTCCAAGAGGACTTCGACCCCTTCCAGCGCATTTTAGAGGTAGGTTTTGAACTTAAAGACATTTCCTATAAACTTTAGTTGGGCTGGGGCATGTTTTGACCGCCTAATGACCAAGTAGTTGAAACCCTGCCTGGACTGTTGCTTTAAGCTTCTTGGCTTTCTCAAAAATTCGGCAATTCAAAAGAGACGGATGGAAGAGAAGTCCAACCAATTTCTTCTGGAATTGTCTTTTTTTCTGACTTTTGTAGAATTTTTCTAAGCATTCATAAGTAAACCTTCCATAATATTGCAGTTTCCTTGCACTGTGGTTTGTTCCTAGAGTACAATGTTTGCTCTAGGTGCTGTTCCACTGACATGTTTTATGTTCAGACTTTCGAGGCTAAACTGAAGAAGCGTAAACACTACACTTTCTATCATCTGGTTTGCACGTGGAAGTACTTCCGATGGAGCCTAACAGTTTGCTCCGGCCTGTAAGTGCAACCAATCTTGCACTAGAAGTTGAATAATGGCACTTTACTTTTATTCTAGGATCTTTGCCTCACTGGTCAACTACGGTCTACTTTTCAATATGGAGAAGCTCTCCGGATCATTATACTGGAACAATACAATGTTTGGTGTACGTTTCATTCTATGCAGGTGACGGGCTTTGGTCCCAGCCGCGCACTGCTGTGACTGAAAAGCAGATTGCCGCTTACCCTTTTAGAGTGTCTTCAGTGTCTCTTCTTGTAACCTCGGCATTCCTTGTTCATATTTGTTTTGTTTTTTCTGCCGTTCGAGGTTGATAGGTGGAACATTTATTCAATCGGCCTAACGTTTCGACAAAATCGTCGTCTTCTGAGGCCCAGGTTCCACCGTTTGTGCGGGAATCCCGCCCCTGCACCAAAGTCGGTCAGTAAGAAAGAAAGAAAAGTAAGAAGTTTTTTTTCGAAAAGTTAGACCGAATAAATTCCTATGTTCCACCTATCAACCCTGAACGGCAGAAAACGAACGAACAAAATATATGTACAGCAGGCGGTTAACCGTCTTCGTCATCACTGGGGCGTGTAAGGAGGACTTTGTACTTGGCGCACCACCTGCACCAGCACATACACTTAAAGCAGTGCTACATCGTCGGAGAGCGGACCAAAAGTATGAGTAAAGTTCACTGCGATTCCCAACTAGGCCAGTTCCCTCAGCGCGCTGGGTGCGGTTGGAATCACCACTCGTGGTCAACTCCCTTCCATCAGTGGCGCCCAGTGAGGCTCAAAACCACTCCGGCTTCGGCCATCGTGATAACTACTCTTGAGATTAAGTACTAAGCTTAAAGGCAAAAGTCAGGCTCGTGTTTGGGCATTATGGCGCCTGAAATTGAGTGTAGAGATGGGAGGTGGAACGACAGTGAAGAAAAACACAAAGAAACCGTCGACAAGACCGAAATCGAAACCCCATCTCTTCTAGCAGTGAAAGAGGCTTGCTCGGGGGAGAGCCACGTCCAAACGAGTTTTCCGGATATGCCAGCCGTTCCATCGGTTGATACGGCAATCAACCTAGCTGATCTCACACGTTAGGCCAGCCACGCACCACATCCCGCGGTGGGCGGGACCAGCTGATGTAACGAACCCATCGCTGAAAGTAGTAGGCCAGAAGCCTTGACGGCGCGCAATCTCGAGACAGGAGTGTGGCATCACCCCTCTGAGCGCATTCCTGGAAATATTAGTGATGGAAAGGCCTTCTAGGGTTACCTAATCCTGACTCGTGGCTTTAATAATTTGCATTCAGAGTGATACGATGGGCAATCAATATACTGGTCGGTGCTGGTGACTATTTTTGTCGGTGCGTTGGAAGAAAACTCGTCCATTTTGTCGCCATCACTTCCATTATTGGCGCATTAGCTATCATTTGTGCTCTCTATCTAGGAGGTATGCGTACTGCTTTATTTGATCAAAGCCGATATTAGTAAAAGATGTGTTACTTTGGTGCCCTTTGTAAGCACCTAGGACATTTACTCATCGTGCTACTACGCCATTCGTTCAAGCTGCGTGAATTTGAATCCCCCTTCTCTTATCTTGACACTTTACCGTAGCTCGTTGTTGTACGTTTAAAACTCTTAACTCGGGGTTGTTGCATGCATAGCGTTGATCCATGGTCGGACATCTGATTTGAGTGGCAGAGGGCTGACCTCTCGAAGGAATAGGATCGATGTATTATTTTGTTCGAAAATTTGACAAGAAGTGCAATAAGGAACATTAGTGGGGAGAAAAAGCAAAAAGCGCCATAGAAAACACTGAAATTTCCCTTGTGAGGCCGGCCGTGGTATGACGGAGAGACACAGCGCTGCGAGGAGAGGGAAAACGCGAGAGAACACGTTGTACGGGAGAGGGTGCGGACCACGTATGTCGCGACTGATAGAGCTGCGGCGCCGTCAGCGTACAATAAAATTAATGGCTTTGTATATAATTAAGCTGTTCTATTTGTGAAATTAAAATTATTTTTTTGTTCTTGTTTTCCGATTTCAAGGCAAGGATTTCGATTTTGTCTATGCTGTGCATTCTGAGTCGCCTCCTGCGTACACTCATTTCAGTGGCCGGAATCACCTATCGGATTTTCTCATAAGGTCTCTTTTCCATTTCTAGTAACCGAGATTTTAGATCATCAACTTGATCAAGCTTGGGTAATTCGCTATTGTACCATAGCGATAACCTCAATGACCAGCCAGGTGCGCGTTTCAGAGCGTTACATGCTCTTCATTACTTTAAGTGTTGTCATTGGATTTCAGCTGTATATCGCCAAGTTCATGATAACCACTGAGCTATTTCCGACTGCCATTCGGAACATCGCCTCTTCCGCGTTGGCCGTATCAAGTCGTTTCGGCACCATCATCGCACCACAGCTCTTCTATTTGGTAAGTGAACAGAGCCAAGCGTAGACACAAATGGATACGGTATGTGCGACTGCTCCGATGCGTTCTCTGCTAGTGCATACGGATAAAATAGGCATGAGCATTCATGTCGTTTAGGGGGGGGGCACTCAAGTGAGTGAGCCACTCACAAGGTGACTGAGCCACGCACAGTTTTTCGGCCTTAAAATTAGGACGGGATTCTTGGGGGGGGGGGAAGGTACGGATCAACTTTTGTCTCTCCTGAAGGCTCACAGCACCTGGGTATTGATTATATACGCAGTCACCCACAAAAAAGCTCAGTGCTGGTACCCAAGAAGTTTTAACACATTAACGACTGCGCTGCGCTTTGCAAATCACATTTTCCCACGGATTTCACCTGTTTCCCTCTACTTAGTTAGCATGTTGAGTATATCCAGAGTTATCCATATAGGTGCATTACCGGATCGGGAAAACAGTATATCCATTACCAGCAACAGAATTACGAAAATCAATTGAACGAGTAATGTTGATTTCGAAAAATATGAGAAATGCTTGAGTGCACAAACAAAGGGCCGTTGTCAGTGAAGCTGAAGACACTGTCCAAAATTCCTTGACTAACTTGGCTTGTCACAAACCATTGGTTGCAATCCTTACCTTTTCAGGCTGACATCTCACCGGTGCTTCCATATTTTGTTCTTCTGACTGTATCGATAATCGACTGCATTTGTTTCCAAGTAATTTTGCCGGAAACGAAAGGACGAAATCTTGAGAACCACCTGCCACCAAAAGAAGAGCGAATATTCAATCGACAACCACGTGTTTTGGACGAGTAGATTCAAATTGTTCCAATCGAATTGTGTCTTTTTTTCGTCCGGGTTTTCACTCTTCATGTCGATAAGGCTATGAGGTATCAACTACATAGGTCTTGCTTTCTGCTTTCCGAACAAGCGACTATGTCCGTTAGGTCAATCTGTCTCTCTAAAATGTGCCACGCAGTGAATAGCATTCAGATCTGTGGATGGCTTGTATTATAAATGCGTGAGCGCGTTACACACAATGACTTCCGAGAATCGTAACGTGTCAAGCTACACATATTTCACCAGTTTAACTCCGCACACTATCGTGCGCATGACAGGAAAATTTTTCCTTCC